ATATATATATATCTTGGAATTGGTCTTGTTTTCGTAAAGGAAGATGAAAAAAAGTGACACAAGTTAGACAGCTCATTTCTTCCCCCTCCCCCACACCACGCGCCCCCCAAAAAAAGTAATAATAATAATAATAATAATCCCAACAAATATAGCATCTACTTCCAGAATAAAGGATATACAATTGGTCACTATAACTTGAATTGGTGTTGCTTTCTTCTTAGGTTCTTGTAGTTTCTAACAGAGAGTAAACATGAAATTTTAGTGGCTTTGCTTCCAAGACTAAATAGAAAAAGATAATAAATATCATATCTGATAATGTACAACATTTACGGATATGAGATCAAGGAACAAGACAGTATATGCACACATTTGACGCAAGTTGCTGGAAACAATGGATTCTTTTAGTTTAAAAAAAAAAAGGAGAGAACTTAGCACCTCAATTGCATCATCATTGACCATAATCAACATAACTTGTTTATAAGCCATGTTACCCGGGTTGAGCAAGGTTACATGTCTAGAAAGATCAATTGTGGGTTTGGAATTTTGACATCAATATTAAAATGACAGTTTGAGTTTACAGCTATATCTGACACATCTCTAGCGAACCAAGTTCCAGTGGCATCAAGTGCCACCCTATTGTAAAGATCAATAAGCATTTATTATTTGAAGATGTCAACTAGTTTAGTTGATATGAGGCTTTCGACGTTGGATGGTAAGGTCATAGGATCATATCTCATATTCACCCCATACTCTCTACACTAAAAAAGAGTGTTTAATTTGTAGCAAGGAACTTCCGACATCAAATTGCAAATTTAACAATTAGTAAAAACTTCACCATGAAACATAGTGACAATGTCAGAGATAATGTACAAAAAGCCATAAATATTATATAAGCTCTATATATGAATATTTTAGTTGTTTAATTATGCCAATAAAGAATTATTTACCATTAGGAATCTACCATCATCAAAGAAAAAAAAACTATGTTATGAAAAAGCTGTCTAAAACATTGAATTTGTTCTAATTAAAAAACAAAAAACAGTAATTTTGTTCCAGATTAATTATGGAAGCAAAACTTTTAGACCGAGGAATGAGAAACAATCAAATTACCTTGGCAAATTTTATATCTGCATCACTGTGATCATTAGTTCTTCCTGCTGCATCACCAACATAAAAGGATCTACAGCATAAGCCAATAACATTAATTACAAAGAGTAAGCAAGGTACTGTGACCAAATAGCTGAAAGAAGTGTTTGAAGCTTTAAAGCAAATTTTCTGTGATTATTATTAACAGCTGACCTTCCTATGTGGAAATGTGCAGGATGAAGAGGGTGAAAAGTGAGATTAGAAATGATGATTTTACCTACAAGGTTATAGCATACATTGCAATAGCATGATTTTAAAGAGTATAACCTAGTTTTGAATATAATGTATTAAATGTAATCCTAAGTAAAAATTTCACATTACTGAAATGAAGAATTCAAGGTCATAACAAGTTCAGACAAATAACTGATCCATGTCGACTGCAATGCTAGAATTGAAGTGTTCCTCCATTAGTTTCCACATTCCTGGTTGTGGTTTCCGAAAAGGATCATCAGTCCCATCCTTGTTCTTCCCCAGCCCACAAGCGATAAATACCTGAAAGAATATATGAAAAGTATATCAAAAACAACATTATAAGTTTTGGAAATGCCGGAGGCGTAACTGGCAAACATTCCCTATTTTACAGCTAATTCACAGACAATGACTTTGACACAGATAATCTTTATGTGCAGCAGTGCAGGACTAAATAAAAGGATGTGATAAATAATAGAGAAACACAGAGCTTTCAACATCTAGAAGCAACAAGATTGATCAAACAACACTACACAAAAAAGTGAACAATCAAATCAAGGTCAAGCACCTGAATTGGTACTTTAACACACTTGATGAAGTTTTCAAGCCGTCCTATTTTGGAATCCACTGCTTGTTGTCGCTTGTTCTTCCAACGCTCAATATTGGATTCATTGGTAAAAATAACCTATTGATGAAGCATGGAGTTAACTGGATAACCATGTTTTCATCACTAATATGAAATATAACATATAGATGCTATAATCCATAACAATCAAAGAAAAAACACATCTTTCGTTACTGAATGTATCAAAAACAACCCCTCGACAGTAGATACATATGGACAATATGAGGAAAAACATAGACAGACCAGCTTGTAGCCACCCTTATATAGTTCTTGCAATTTCTCTGGAATTGATGGATACATAAGAGACCAAGCATCAGGACCAATTCTGCACCAGAAGTGATTATTAAGTTAGACATCTGTTCTGTTGGTTGAAAAATAAAGCATTGGTGGGGCCAGTGCGATCTGTGCAGAAGAGATGCATGCAGAATTGTAGACACAGACACAATCATGAATACCGTGATAGACAAGAAGAAAATAAAAGAAAAGCAGTGACATGTACAAGGTCTCAAATGACCAAAAGTTATGCCAGCATTGAGATCTTTTCAAACCCAAAACTAAGCAAGCATGGCTCCTTAGATCATAAACATTTTAGTTCATATCCTAGACTACATATGTAAATATGTCAGCAGATGAGTTACATGTAACATCATCATAACAACTAGCCCTAGACTTCAAGAACCATAAAAAAGTACGTAGCCCAACTGGACACTTCAATGACTTTTTGGATAAGAGAAAAGAAGGGTTTGCAATATGAATTTTCTTATAAGCATATTTCAGGCAACACAAGTTTTGATTAAGCATCTTCCTTTTGTAAAGTTTCTTTCCCGTTCCTTGTTTCCCAATTCCCTATTTACTTCATAATTGAGATTTCACGAGTAACATATATAGATATTCAGAAGTATTTCACGAACCATAAAAAGGTAGGTAACCAAACTAGACACTTCAATGACTTTTTGGATAAGAGAAAATAAGGCTATGAAATATGAATTTTCCAATGATTTAAAAAGGCGCTTGGGTGAGGTGAGGCAAGGCTAGAGCGCCTCACACAAAAGTCAGGCAACACACTTCAGTGAAGCATCGCCTGGGCGCTCGCCTGAACCTAGGTGCCAGGCGCCTCGGGCGAGCACCTAGTTGAAGCAAAGCAACCGAATCAAATGATCAACTTTGGTTCAGTTGAATAGTAGCTTACTTGGTTTGATTGAACCAACTAACCAAAACAGTAAAACCCCAACCCCACCTCCCCCCCATGTGACCCGAACCCATAAACCCTACTTCGCCACCTTGACTCACCTTTGCTCCCACCGTTGCCTTCGTGCACATGCAGCTGCCTCCACCGCTGATGCATAGGTTTGACGCTTCCTCTACCACCGACAGATGAGTTTGAAGGTCTAGCTTTTGTGTCTAGTTCCCTCCGCCGCCGCTGCCACTGTCTGAAGCTTTGCCCGTCGCTACTGCCACCGTTCGCAACTTCCTCCATCATCGCTAGCATCGTCTGAAAGTTCCTCCATCACCGCCACCCTCTTCTTCCCCACATTCCACTGTCGACGACTCTTTTCTCCCCCTCTAACTACTATTAATAGTGGATTAAATATTGTTAATGGTAGATTGTTAATCTTTAATTGATATTAAAATTATTATTAAGTGATAACTACTGTTACCATATAGTAGTCCCTATTTAGCACTTTTAATCATATTTATCAATTGTATTATATATTTTTATATTTTAATATTTTAGAATGTCTTGCTTCACACGGCCGGGTGTGAGCGCCTAACGCCTTGAGTATTTTGGGACCTTGGAATGCCTTGCTTCGATTGTATTATATATTTTAATACAATTGTATTATATATTTTTTATATTTTAATATTTTAGAATGCCTTGCTTCACTCGAGCGGATGCCCAAGTGAGCGCGCACCTCGAGCATTTAGGGACCTTGACGTCTTTTAGCGCCTAACGCTTTTTAAAACACTAAAATTTTCTAATATGTATATTTCAGGCAACACAATAAGTTTTGATTAAGCATCTTCCTTTTGTAAAATTTCTTTCTCGTTCCTTGTTTCCCAATTCCCTATTTCCTTCATAAATGAGACTTCGCAAGTAACATATGCAGATAGTCAAAAGTATTTCAGCGAAATAGTATATCATGTACAAAATTTATTAAACTATGACAATTTAATAAACACTTCAATGAACTAGGAGTTAGCTGTTGCAAAAATAAACTCTCTGATGAAAGAGAAGCTAACTATTTATATTTCATACCTTTTCACAGATGTATTCACAAGACAACCATCAAAATCAAATGCAGCAATTCTTTCTGAATCATGGAAGCCATCTTCCTAGCAGTACAAAATTTAACGTAACTCATACAGTATTTGGTCCAAACCTCAGGCCACATTGCATAAAAAAAAATTAACGATAGAGATGGATATCATGCATCGTATTTTAAAAACCAAAACCTTATGATGAATGTCAAATATAAATCACCGAATTTCAATGTGCATTGTGCATAAGAACCCTTTTTTTTTGTCAAGGCAACAGATTTGTAATTCATATCCAATATACACATACCTTCTCATTAAAAATTATTGTCCTAAAGGCTATCCATTTTGGTGGTAGTGTGGCATCCTGGAATAAAAAGAAAAACAGAAACTTACAGTTTGCTGACTGCAAGTGATGCATATTATAAACAAAAAACACTTTATTTATAATGAATGCATGGATATGAAAAACAGATACAATCATCATTATCCATGCCTTCCAGTAAAAGAGAAAAAAATATCAGAGAGTGAGAAAAAAAAGTAAAAAAAAAAGAATACCTTGTACCTATCTTTGGTGTCAGAAATATGAAAATCCATCTGTAGGAAATTGTGTTTTGCATTTACAGATAGATGAGAACCAGCCTGAAAAGCAGTACTTTGTATCAAAATCAATATCACATGAGTACCATGTTCTCCATCGGTGAAGAATGAGAACAAAACGACATGAAATCAGGTATCTATGATGCAGGAAAAAGTGCATATCAAAAGTCCAATTCAGCATGCCTGGCCTAGTATATCTAGTGCAAAATCATCTGGCTTCAAAGCCCATCACATTCATCACCTACTAACAGGGAAAGAAGATGTTATGCCCGTTATCAGCTGCAGATTTCAAGCACCTGTTTAATTTTCGTTGTAATAATTTCATAAGGAATTAGAAGTGAACAATGGTCTTGCATTTTTAAAGGTTCTCAAACTAAGAACCCAGTTAATGACTTGATCAATAACTCTGCTTTTCTATGGTTCATTCTAAAAATCTCCAATGTTGATCTAAAAGTACTTTATTTGGAATTAACTACAACATTGCTACTTTGCTGTAGTTGTATTCTAATCCTATAACTATGTATGTGTCTTCATGTGGTCTTGTAATGCTTTAATATGCCTCGTTGTCTCAGGTATATGCTCATGTTTTCCCTCACATTCTTTCCTCCACATATGCCGCTTCTCCTTCTGATTGCACTTCTGTGTTACCAGAAAATATAGTTTCCAGTATAAGTATGTAGTTTAACTGGAATTAAAGGTACTTATGCATTTTATTGAATTGAAAATATGCCCTCTAGTATAATCTTCAAAAGGATTCTGGTAGCTTAATTTCATATACATGAAAACACTTATAAGATATAAAGATAACCATGATCAGGAACTTCGTTGGTTAACATTAGAATTACAAGAAATTACCATACAGACTTCAAGAATGTAAAGTTCCCCCTCTGAAAGAACGTTCAAAGAGACAAATAAACTTATAGGAAAACCAATTTGGTGAAAAATTTTACCAGTACACATTAAGAACAACATGAGAGTTAAACATACTAAAAACTGTCAAAGAAAATACAAGCCAAAATTGGGCTCTTTTTCCATGGAGCATAGTACCACTAGGCACAAACATATTTAGTCAAATGATCTATCACTACAATCTAGCTCAGTAGAAAAGCAGATCTACCTTTTGTCCCTCTGGTCTCTCTTCCACCAAATCTTCACTCCCAGCTTCATCCGCAATGCAGATCTTAAAAGGAGAGTCGAGGCCAAGTTAAAGTCAAAACAACAATAGTTATTTCAGATGAATAGGAGAATAACTTAACCTTTGGTTTCTTTGAACTCTTTGCCTCCATCTTCACATATGCACCACGACATCTTTTATGGACCTATGAGAGTAATGATAAATCAACCTAAATTAAATAATGAACAAGCTTTCTTCAATAAACCAAGCATCATACAATTAAATTGTTTCATTTGGTAGTATCTATCTCAATTATACAGTAATGCAGCCAAACTAATCTAGATACAGAACAAAACATAAGTAGAACACTAGAACAACCATAGAGAAAGGCAGCAATGTGAAGAGGTAATCAAAGAACGAAGTTTACATAATCAGAATTTTGTCAACATCCTTGAATCAGAACTGCCAGCCAAGATGAATACCAAAAATTGTGGTATTCATGAAAATTGGCAAATTCTACAAGTTTTTTGCACCATACAAGACTCGTGAGATCTATAAGGATTCTCAGACACACAGCAAAATGCCAAAGCATTCTCTAATTTATCAAACTTCAAAATGAAAGATAATTCAGCGTTATCAGATTAAGACAGTAGTAATCATGGAAAACTCCCAACCAGATGAGACACATGCAAGCACGCACGCCTCTAAACAGATAAGGGAAAAGAAAGAACATAGATTAGCGCTTATCAGGAATCAGCAACTAAGCATCTTCAAAACCCTTATTCTCTGTCCAGAGTCCGACATGAGTTGTTTTTTTCTTTAGCGCCAAGCGCCACTTTCTCCACTCTCAGTCCACTTTGTTGAGTGGTGATTTCGAGTACAATAAATATTTAAATCTTGAGCACGTCTTTAGCTTGAACAATGATCCTTACCTCTTCAGTTATTTGGTTTGATGATGCGGAAGGCTCCAGCTTCCTCAATGCGTCCTTTTCGTGGTCCTGAATCACCCACAAAACCCAAAATGTAAGGGGGGAGCCGAAGAAGATAACAGTGGAAAGTCGCGGTAGGCAATGCATCTTAGACGTGGCGGGACCTTCAAAGATGAAAAGCCGACGATCTCGTCGGCGGCGGCAAGGGCGAGGGACTCGGCCGGGAAGCAATCAACGTGGAACCAACGGACGAGATCGAACCCACGCGGGTCATTGGCCGAGGAGCCGAGCCGCAGCGCGCCGGCCGCGATCGCCTTACTGCAGCTCTTGCACGAGGACCGGCCGGACTTGGCGTACTCCGCGACCACCTTGGTCGGCGCCATGAGAGGTCGCGAGGCGGGGATCAGGAAGAGGACAGCGTTCCGACGAAAGGGGGGCAAGGAGGAGAGGGAGAAGCGCAAGGACATGATCAAGAGGGGTCGGTCGACCACTAGGGCTACACCACGGTCATCGATGCGGCCGACGGTTCTCGGGATATTTATTGGAGCAAGAAAGGCGTTTCTTTATGATCCCTGCCGAAAATGCCGAGTGAGTCACAAAGATTCCCTGTTGGAACATTAATTTTTCTTTTTATATAATTATTTTATTGATCCAACTAATTGTATCAATGTCTTGGTACTATGGTGGCGAGTGTTCTGGTCCGTCACGCGGGTAACTCGGGTTCGATCCCCGGCATCGGCGTTTCCTTGTATCCTTATTTTCTTTTTTCTTGTTGACTTTGACCACAATTGTGGGCCTTTATCTCCTTTGGTCAAACGAGGAGGTTTTTGGTCGTCTACGTTTGGCCATGGCGGTCATCCCGCCTTGATTCCACTCTCTTCGACTCCATCAGTTACCTCATCGTAGCCATCCGACTGTGCAGCCACATACTCCAAGGTCCGTTTCCAGCGTCGACGAGTTCACCATAAGAATGTCGTTAAGCTGTGCCACTGCGACTCGAACGAGTTCAGCTGCGGGATGTTGTCCGCCTCGGGAAGGCGGCTAACTCAGTGGTCGAACAGTATGCTCGGTGGGCATGTCGAAGGCAGGCCGACACATCACTGAGGTCGCAGGGGAGAAGACGTGAGTGTGCAGGTGGAGCTCGGCGGCTCCGCTGAGCACGTCGCTGCAGAAGAAGTCTAACACAGGAGTGGGAGTCGGGTTGATATGATCGATTTTGATCATTAATCTTATTTGATGAAATCGTTTCATCGTTATTGACTTGGGTTTAACAAAGAAATATTTCCCTCGAGTATCATTGTAATGCATCATATTCAGTAGATTCCTCGTTATCTCTATAAGCGGACATGAAGTATCATCCCATAGATATTGATTGAACTATATATATCGAGTTTCGATGGAATGAAAATGATAATTACATATATATATATATATATATATATATATATATATATATATATATATATATATATATATATATATATGTATATGTAAACTGCAGAAATGGGAAATTATTTCATGTGTTCGTCGAATCAAACATTGAGTTGGGAGTTCGGGATGTATTTATACAGCACACAGCGTAAGCGAGCATGTGAGTATACATGCGTACATTTTATCGATCGATGTTTACAGTTGGGGTTCAGAACCTGGTGAGGAATTGGATCTGCTTGAGGAGAGGGGTGAGAGCCTCCATTAGCTTCTCGCAGGGATGGTTGTGGATGCCTTCGTACGTGGTGACGACGATGCTCGTGTCCTTGGAGAGACGTTGGACCTGCTTCTTCACGTTGCACGTGTGGTGGGTGCACCGGTAGTAGCTTCTTCATCCATGCAATCAATCATGTGGTTCATGTGAAAAAGAGAGAAGATAGAAATCCATGCATATGTACAGCAGCATGTTATGTTGAGATTTCTCATATAATTTACAAGGGTTAATAATAGAGTGTTAGAGCAGTGATACAAACCTCCATCCTTGGATTAAACTGTGAATAGGTAAATATAAATTGATAAACCTAATCATAAATTTTGTTTAAAAAAAAGAAGAAAAAAAACTTGCATTAGTGTTATTGTAAGGGATCCTACATACCATACCCCACTGTGTGACAAGAAATCATCGAAAATACAATCGGATAGATTCTTCTACGTAGGAAAGTAGTATGTGGAAATGATGAAAATCGAAAAGATTTTCCTCTCTTTTTCTCTATAATTTCTACTAACATCGAGTTAGTAGGTGTAGTCAGCTCCAAGAAAGGGGAACGACCTTCCAATCTATGGATGAGGGATTAATTATCCCCCTTTTAACTATTATTTATTTGGGTAAAAAAAAAAGACATGATATATTAAGAAGCCTACGATAGATTCCACAGGGACATACTTCACATCTGCACAAATATTTTTATTATGCCAACAACTACAAATGGAAGGAAATGAACATGAGGTTTTGGTAATAAATCCTCAAAAAGTAGAAATATTTGCTGAACATTATGTATTTTCTTTTCAGTTGTTCAAAATTTATTTGTTTGTCAATTCAAAAAGAGAAAAATAAAATAATAATAATTACTAATTTAAAATTCCTGTTCTTCATCACCTTTCTCTCTAAATTTTAAACTTTTCCACAAAGCCATAAGTGGTATATTTTGTAATATAATTCCACCTAATAAGTTATTGGGATTCCATTTTGTTTACATTCCAACAAGCTTTGAATGTATGTCTCACTAGCCCACTGTTAATTGGCAGCATATGCTTCCCTTAATTGACCACCATACTCCCAAAATATATTAAGATTGGAGATAGAAAATAAAGAGAGTTTGCGTTTGTGAATGTATTATAATATTGCATTAGCAACTAGAAAATTATTTGCAAATGTTAGATGATAACACAATGGGTTTGATCTGACTGAGATTAGTACAAGGATTAGGCACACACTAATGTTGGTTGTGCAGATTGAGATGTCATGCATGCAGCTTAGCTTAAAGATGAATAACAGCAACTCATATTCTTCTCTAATTTTGATGGATATATAGCATCATTCAGTTAAACCTAATGCGTGCTATTATTAATGTTCAACTCTGGCACTGTAGTTTGAGTAGTCATGCTATTATTAGTGCATATGTTGTTTAATGCACGATTCATTGTTTACATTGTTTATAGGTCCTAATAATCAAACCATAAGCGAGCAGTTTCTGAACAAAGATTAGGATAATTGACAAGCAAAGTTAAGAGAATATTCTAAGATTAAAAGAATGAATTAAAAGTTGGAAAGAGACAGGTGAAATATATTGAATTTGACCCACAACTTAATAAACTTTAAATTCATGTATGTTAATTTGATTAGTTCCATATTTATTGTGAAGTCGAGTGGAATCATATTTATTGTGAAGTCGTTCTGTAGGATATACTTCTTGTTAGAATTTCCAAGAATTTTTGGATTTATAATATAAATTAAATTATTTGGAAAACAAGGGTAATTCGGAAGGGAAAAAAGCTCGAGTGCTTACGATTTTTTAATTAGTCTATAAATACCCCATACATCTTTGCATCTTGTAAGGGGAGGATGTAAGATAACACCTTTGAGTGCTTCCGTTTTTTTTTTTTTTTTTTTCTTTCTTATAAATACAGCGAGCTAGAGAAATTCTTTAGGATCTTCATGAGAGATGATTTGTAATTTGATTGAGATATTAACTCAAGGAAACTTATAGTTTGATTTTACCTATTGTGAATCGAATGTTTTGATTTGGGTTCTATTATTGCTTTTAGAATCTTTAAACTAGATAATGAAACTCATTTCAATCTCTAAAGACCATCTGAACTGCAACACATTCATGCATGCAATGAAAGATCAATCAGCATCAGCATGCAATGGTTAATTAAGAGGCCCAACCCACTGATACTTCCATGTTGAATTAAGAACTCAAAACCTTGTGGTTTCAAGAGAACGGAAACCCTAATTTCTTCTTACTTTAAACTTGGATTTCTTTTGCTTGATGAGCTTTAAAGGTTGCAGTTCTTCTGCCACTCATCAAGAACGAAGGCTTGCATGGTGAACTGGATCAGCTCTCACCTGGGATATGCACTGTTCTTGACTGCCTTCTGTCCATACTTCCGCCAGCGATACCCATCATCGAGGATGTCATTCGGGCTCTTCGTCTGGAACGCAAACCTCGGCCGGCCAACCTTCTTCTCCCTCCCACCGGAGCCGCCCTTCCCCTTCTCCCTGTCACCACCAGCTCCGCTCCCGCTCCCCCTTCCCACCGTCAGCTCCGTCACGGCCATTGGCGCCGCCGCCGCCTGCTGCTGCTGCTGCTGCAACACCTGGAACAACGAACCCAAGTCAACGCCCCAAGTCAACTCCGGAGGTGGGAACGGCGCAGGTTGCCCCACGTAAGGAGGAGGACACAGAGTGGAGCCCGAGGCTGGCGGTGCGAGCTGGGCTTGTTCTTCATCCTCCAAGCTCTCCATCGAAGACTGCTGCATCAGAGCAACGCATGGATGATTTATAGAGGAGAGGATTGGTGGAGAGAGAGTTTGGGAGTTGGGAAGAGGTTGGGGACGCGTCAACCACAACATCGATCCCAGTGGACGACAGGAGATGCATCCACGGAGACGATGAAGGAGAGATGGAAGCAGCGGTGTCCCAACTGTCCTCATGTCAGCTCAACTGCCATGCCCACTTACCCATTACCTCCTCCTTTGGTTTACTTAAACTACAGCTAAGATCAGTCCCTGTCATCATCTCTTCTTCCTCCTGCTTCCTCTTCTAATGAATGAATGTACAGCTTGACCTTTAAGCTACCAAAATACCATTGATGTTAACGCCATACAACTAGTGATATGCATATGTATGTGATGTGTGTAGTGTGCATGGAATGACAGATGGGAGTACGTGTCGTTCACCTAAAGTTATCAACCCCACCACGCCATCACAAGGTGTGATGTGGGTCGTTGAACGAGTCAGCTTTGGACTTGGTGTTGATGATGAAGAACCGCTGGAAGCTACTGGTTGCAGACGAGGAAAGCGTCGGTGATGCCCATTTCAGTTCGATTAAACGCTCGCTCTCGAGTTAAAGTTATGACACGTAGAGGCTCACATGCAACGTGGATTTGCCATCTGATAAGTATATTACTATCCATTTTAATTTGAATCTGCGTATATTATTATCAATTTTAATTTAAATATTTTGATTAATAATTTAAATATATCTATTTTAATTTAAATATTTTGATTAATGATTTGAGTGAAACTAAGTTGATAAATTAATTAACTCATTAAACCTAGATCATGATATTTGATATTAGAACCATAATAATTTTAGTAAATAATATATGAGATTATAATAGTCTAGTAAAATATTTATAGTGATATAATCTGAAAGAATATTTCCTTAACATTTATAGTCGAATATTTTCCGATTTAATTCTTTGACAAATTTATGCACATATTGTCATTTTGGTCTGAGTCTTTGGGTTAATAAAGGCAATATTGATGTCTTCTCGGGTTATGTGTTTTACGTTCATCGACATCACTCACGAGAGAAGAAGGATCGATCATTCCTACGCAACTTCGTCGTCTCCTCTGATTGTTAACACCGACTGTTCTTTTGCTCATGGAGGACAGAAGCTAATGTGCTGTCCACGTATAGACAAGCAGCGACGGCGTGTTCTGATTGTCGGGTGCGATAACTGTTATAAATGGGGAAAAGTTATGATCAGCAGGAGGTAATTTGATAGATTAATACATTTGAAATATTTATGATTTGAAATGATGCATATGATGTATTGCATATGATGGGTATCATGAATGCTTTAAATGATAAATGTTTGATACCAACAATCATGAAGTGATAAATATTTAAAAATATTGATTTAATGTTCGATATCATGAATACTTTATTATCATACATGAAAATAGTGATAAATATTTTAAAAATAAATGTTTGCATCATGTTAGACTTTTTGTGCATGATGAGTTATAGTGATGATTGAAACAATGATTGAAATAATATGAATGATGATTTGGAATCATGCTGAGTTTATATGTTTTAAAAATATATAAGATGATTTAGTATTATGCATGTAATACTTTAACGTATGATAATGATGCATGCAATGATGAAATATTTATGATAAAATAATTATTTTGACATCAAGACTTGAATTTTCATCCATGCTATTTATCTTTGTCATAATTTAGAAATTAATGTAAAGGGTCTTTCCTTCTTTTTGACAATGACAAAGGAGAGTAAAACATACTAGAAAGTTAATTTGCTAGCTCGCACAATTCAAGAAAAAAGTAAAAATTACACTTCTCAAAAGAGAAGAAATTACTATCTTGAACATCACCAAAGAGTGCTGCTATCTTGCCTATCTCATGAAGCAAAAAGTTAACTTGCACATCTATCAAAACTTATATTTTAAGAAGCAAAAGTTACTTTCTTAAACATCTCAAAATTTCTAGCTTGCGTGTCTTAAAATGTTGAAATTTTTTTGCTAGCTTGTATATTGTAAACATGCTATCATACTACCATGTATATCTATGATGATAGCAAACTTACATGATGATAAAAATGGATATTATGTTTTTCATGTAATGAGTTAAACTTGTATATCACAAACACTTGATTATGGTATTTCTCCTTTTTGTTGATAACAAAGGGGGAGAAGTATGTTGATTATATGTCATGATTTTATCATGACATGTTGTTTGAATTTTTGAATCATAAGAATTTCTATCAATATGGTATATCGATAGGGGGAGTTTGTTTAAACTTCGGGAGTTAAGGTTAACTCCGTCGTCGATTGGTTGTCATCATCAAAAAGGGGGAGATTATTGAATCTCGGATTTTGATGATGAAACCAATCAATATGTGTTTATGTTTTAATCTGCGTTATGAGTGACGCAGGATGCTTCGATCAGGATGAGACAATTAAAGCAGGAAAATCATGTTGGGCGGGAGGAACATGTTAGAAGATCGGACGTCGTGCTGGTGGATCGGTCGACGTATCGACAAAAGGCTTCGAGACATGGATTCGGGCATCGAGCCAAGAAGAGCGGACATTGCGCCAAGGATATCGGAGTTGCGGAGTCAACTGGCCAATTAGGCAATAGGCCGTAGGAGAGGACGATGCGCCGAAGAATTGGACGAAGTGTCAAGGGACCAATGACATGTCGGACAACTTGATTAGATGCTTAGGATTAATTGTCTAGATCGAAGTGTATTTTACATATGTAGGATTAACTACGATAGCATGAAAACATAAAGCAAGTTTACCGGAGTCAAGTTCGATGGGTGTTTGAGAGTCCGCCGAAAGTCCGAAGAATCGTCGGAAGTGCTGCCAGAACCAACCGAGATAGAATCGTGGACTTGCCGAAGTTTTCGAAAGTTTGCCGGAAAGACCGTCGGAGGTTTACGGAGATCACCGAGAAGGTTCGGATACTTGTCAAAGACTTGTTGAACTCGCCATAAGACCGAGAGCCTGTTGGGAGTCCGTCGGAAGAAATCCGAGGGTGTATCGGAAGTCCATTGGAAGTTTGCCAGAAAGCTCGCTGGAAAGAAACTCGACGTTGTCGGATAAAATTTGCTTAGGGCTATGTCTTAATTTCATAGTTTACATATAATTTGGGTTATGATTAAGGGTTAATCCTATAACCCGGTTAGGGGCCAATTGGGCCCGAGTTTGGACCGGTTTGGGCCAAGTTTGGAGCCTAACCAATGAGCTGGAATAGTCTAGGCGGTGGCATCGCCCAGAACCCGAGAGGTCCGACGGTAGCATCGCCAGTACATTGCTGGACTGGGCGGTGGCACCGCTTAGAACCTGAGAGGTCCGGCAGTGGCACCGCCAATATACTGTCAGTGTTAGACACTGACAGGCGGTGGCACCGCCAGCACCGGGAAACCCAAAAGCAATTCAAATTTGGAGCCCAAATTTGAATCCTCTTGGGGCCTATAAATATCCCTCAATTCTCAAAAGAGATAACACCTTTATGACAAGTTAGAAAGTGAGAAAAAGCTCTAGTAAAGTTGGATGTAGGTCATTTGACCGAACCACTATACATCATGGTGTTCCTTGAATGTGTGAGTGTTTAATTTTCTGAACCATTTCTTTACTTAGCTACAAATCATTTGATTTTTATCTCTCTATTCTTGACTACCTTTACTTGAGCTATTTTAGCTAAGTCATCCGCTATTTTAACTACCTTTACTCTTGACTACCCTTACATATTGATTATGGTATTTCTCCTTTTTGTTGATAACAAAGGGGGAGAAGTATGTTGATTATATGTCACGATTTTATCATGACATGTTGCTTGGATTTTTGAATCCAAGAGTTTCTATCAATATGGTATATTGATAGGGGGAGTTTGTTTAAACTTCGGGAGTTAAGGCTAATTCCATCGTTGATTGGTTATCATCATCAAAAAGGGGAGATTGTTGAATCTCGGATTTTGATGATGAAACCAATCAATATGTGTTTATGTTTTAATCTACGTTTTGAGTGATACAGGATGCTTCGATCAGGATGAGACAATTAAAGCAGGAAAATCATGTTGGGCTGGAGGAACATGTTAGAAGATTGGACATCGGGCCGGTGGATCGGTCGATGTATTGACAAAAGGCTTCGAGACGTGGATTTGAGCATCGAGCCAAGAAGAGCGGACATTGCGCCAAGGATATCGGAGTTGCGGAGTCAACTGGCCGATTGGGTAATAGGCCGCAGGAGAGGACGATGCGTCGAAGAATCGGACGAACCGTCGAGGGACCAATGACATGCCGGACAACTTGATTAGATGCTTAGGATTAATTGTCTAGATCAAAGTGTATTTTACATATGTAGGATTAACTACGATAGCATGAAGACATAAAGCAAGTTTACCGGAGTTAAGTTCGATGGGTATTCGAAAGTCCGCCGAAAGTCCGAAGAATCGTCGAAAGTGCTGCCGGAACCAACCGAGATAGAATCGTGGACTTGTCGAAGTTTTCAGAAGTTCGTTGAAAAGATCGTCGGAGGTTCACGGAGATCACCGAGCAGGTTCAGATACTTGCCAAAGACTTGTTGAACTCGCCACAAGACCGGGAGCCTATTGGGAGTCCGTCGGAAGAAATTCGAGGGTGTATCGGAAGTCCGTTGGAAGTTCGCTAGAAAGCTCGCTGGAAGGAAACTCGACGTTGTCGATTAAAATTTACTTAGAGTTATGTCTTAATTTCGTAGTTTACATATAATTTGGGTTAGGATTAAGTGTTAATCCTATAACCCGGTTAGGGGCCAATTGGGCCCGAGTTTGGACTGGTTTGGGCCAAGTTTGGAGCCCAACCAATGAGCTGGAACAGTCCAAGCGATGGCACTGCCCAAAACCCGAGAGGTCCGATGGTGGCACCACCAGTACACTGCTGGACTGGGCGGTGGTACCGCCTAGAACCCGAGAGGTCCGACGGTGGCACCGCCAGTACACTGTCAGTGTAAGACACTGATAGGCGG